TTCATTGAGAACATGGTTGTTGTTCAATAATAAAATTACTCCTCAAAAATACAACTTGCCTAATAATTCTGCACTCCCTGTAGTTGAGTGACTGGTGTACACTATATTTCCAAACCCAATCTCATTTTTTTAACCTTCACCATCTTTAATATTAGCTTCCATCACTGTGACCGTATAGATATGATAGAAACATTCATAGAATGGTACTGGGCACAAAAAAAAAAAAAAAGCTGGTACCTGCAAGGCACCACTAAATTGCTGTGCACAAATTTGGAACCAACTATAGGAGTGATCCCGCAAGACCAAGCAATGATGCTTCCCCATGGAAATTAGTCCAACTTCTGCTACTTAGGGTTTGGCTAATGTGGGCCAGTTCTCTAAAGGGAGGCAGATCAGGCCCAGCGTTAGCACAGTGTCAGTGGAAAACAGAGAGACACCAACCTGCCCAGGAGGCTCCCTGAGGAACAGTAATGAAGTGGCGTCTGATCTGGCCCGGTCTAAAGTGGACGTCTGTGAAACACACCTCATGACTACGACTGTCTATTACTCTGTAGGAAGAGAGAAGATCCATCAGACAGAGAAACACACAAACCTCTTATGCGGAGGGGGGGCAAGCATGTACTGACTTACTTGGCAGGGATAACAACTGTGATTGGAACTCTGAATAGTGGCCCACAGGTAGAAGCTGCTGTATCATACCCACACACCTGAAAGACAAATTCAAAGTGAACGTAAGTGCACACAGACACATGGGCTCGATTTTTTGACTCATTCTCTCCTTCACGTGGTGCCCACCTCTGTGTAGTGGACTCCCTCTCTCAGTCCAACGGGGTCGATGCGGACGTTAATGTGACGACACTGGTTCATGAGCTCGAGGTGGGAGGGGCACTGGACCCACGGGGCAGCGCACGTGAGCGCCAAGTGAAGCTGCAGGTTGATTCGCTCAGAGTTTCCTGTGATGGAAGAAGAAGATAGCTACATTCTTAAAATAAATAAATGAATAAATAAATAAATAAATAAAAACATGATGTATGAAAGTACCTGTGTTCTCTGGAAAGATGGGCTCAATTCCAACTCCGTGATCAGTGGGTCCAAGAACGTGGGCTGGGTCCCTGAGGTAGATGCCTCTCTGTGTTCCCACACTTACCGAGAAGCCTAGGTGGCTTGTGGGTAAAGAGGCGTGCTGAGTGAGGTAGTCTAACGCCTTTTCCACCTGAGAGGAAGACAAAACGATACATTTGTTTAACATCTATCAGGGAAAGAAATGGCAGAATATCAGGTTGAAAGTCTTACAATCACAGTACCTGGATTATTCCGTGGCCCTGTGCAAACACCTCGATGTCATCAACCTTCAGAGCAGTGTTTTCCAGCGCTCTTCTCACAGCAGGAGCTGAGGGATGGATCCCGTTCTGTTTCAATCCTTTTTCACAAAACAGCAAACACCAGCATCAGCTTTGAATTCACACACATTTCTCTACACACAGCAGGCTGAATTATCACATCTCACTAGACCCACCTGAGAGGACTAGTGCGATGCCGCCACAAGCGTTAGGTGATGACATGGATGTGCCGTTCATCAGCTGGGTACCACGAAGGGTCCAGTTGGGCACGGATGCAATGGCACCGCCAGGGGCGCTGATGCTGACCCCCAGGGCCCCGTCGGTACTGGGACCCCTCGATGACCAGGTGTACTGGTTCGGAGGCAGCTTCTCCCTCAGGGAGTATTCTGCCACCATCATGTCTGGCGTCACGTATGCGCCAACTCCTGCAGAATGAACAAAGCAAAAATGAAACCAAGCATGGCTGGACAGATGTTTTGATCCAGAGGTTATCAATCCGTGGTCCAGGACCCACTGCAGGCTTAACAGTTTGAGAAGCACTGGTTTCATCTGAGCGTGTACCTATAACACTGCTGGTGGTTCCTCCTGGGCAGCCGACTGTAGTGAGGCAGGGGCCGTTATTTCCCGCGCTTGACACAAAGATCACGTTGTGTTTCTGCACAGCTTCAGTGATCACCTCACAAATCCTCCTGAAGGACAAAAAGACAGCGACAAATGAGTAACAGTAAGCAACGAGGAGCTACAGAGGCAGCGCCTGCTCTCCATGTACTTACCCTGAATTGGGCCAGTGTGTGGCCTCCCCATAACTGTAGTTAACCAGGTCACACTTGTAGTTGATTACTTCAATCATCTTTAAATGACAGACAAATAAAGAATAAAATGGTGCAAACATATACAGATATTTTCTTTAAATCTATATTCTCAGGACTTTGAGGAATATACCGCGCGGATGAGCCCTGTGCCTGTTTCCATGGTGCTGAGGCGGGTGTCTCCAATCTTCAGAGCCAGGATTTGGGCACCCGGGGCCACACCATTACGTTCGGGCTCCTCTGGGAAGTAGCCTGCTGCGATGCTTGCCACATGTGTCCCGTGAGCCCCTTTAGGAGCGCACAAGCAGCATTAGATCATGTGTGAATACCCGACTATTAGGCATATTAGGAATCTAATGCGCTGGGATGGCTCACCTCCGCTGGTGACTATGCAGAGCGTGTTGCCGTCATCATAAATATTAACAGAATAGTTAAGCATCTCGACAGTTCCTAACGTGGCATACTCATGTGACTCTCTGTATGAGCTCAGCACAGTGCACTGGGACAGCTCTCCGCACTCTGAAGTGTCAACTACAGCCCTAAAGGGAACAAATCACAAATAGATTACTGGTAAACAAGGGAAGGTTGTGAAAAGAAAGGGTAAAAAAAAACAACAACAACAACAACAACAAAAAACTGTAAGGATACAGAAGGGGAAAGAAAATTAAAGGTGGCCGTACTTCCATGTGACGCCATCGTGCCAAAGCACACAGTCATATACGGGCCCAGGATCACTGTACTTCTTTTCTAGCGATGCCAGGAGCTCTGACTGACACTGCAACTCTTCTTTCTGCAACTTCTCAATCTGTGGAGAGACCGAAAGATGAGAGATACAGTCGAGGCATCCCATGCTAGTCAAGGGTGCCTAACTACACTTGGAAAAGGCAAGAAATGAAGCCCAATACGTTAGATCCTCTCACATTCCCTCCTTATTCCTCTTGGTGATAGCAGCTATTCTTGCTGCTCCATTTTCTTTGTCACTTCCGATTTTGATCTTTCAAAATTGTTTATCACCATTCTTGTTCAATAATCAGCCCACAATCCCACTTCTTTAAATGTATTATTTGTGCCATTCTCACTTTCTCTCCTCCAAGTCGCTCTATGAATTTATAAATGTACATATTTTCTAACATAAACGTTGCCTTTTTCTCTCTCAAATGACCTCAAGGGAGCAGGTCTGACCTGTGAGGGGTTTGGATGAGCGAGGTCAAACTCTTCCGTCTTGCGGCAAACCTCAGCGAGTGCTGCTCTGTGTGGCGGATCCCACATCTTCTCCTTTCGCTCTTTCTAGTAGTCAAAAACCACAAAAAAAAAAATCCAATAACTCTCCAACACAACACACAGTCTAACATACAACTCAGGAAATAATCTGAGCTTAGGAGCTGTCAACAGGGACACTTCAACTATGTTTTTCCCATCATTCATTCATCAGGTGGGTGTATTATATGCAAAAAGCTATAAACTCTTTACAAAACTTTCCAAGTATGGATAATCAATTCAGAATAAAGGTCAGAAATCCTATCAGTTCACTGATTTCAGATGGATTTTCTATGAGAGGGAAGAGGACAATTCAGCAAGTTTTTCTGTGTTATCGCTAAAGCTGACTGAAGTGTTGAAACATCAGGAAAAAATGCCTGTCTGTGACTCAGGTGGCCAGAAGCTCCAATGCCATGAGTCTTTTGAACAGTTGCTATCATGTCCAAGCTTAATTGTCCACGTGTCAGGAGTACTGGGCTTTGTGCTCAACACTGTGTCAGACAAAATGAAGTAATAATGTCACCTCTTCCTACCTGTACTCTTTCTTTCAGAGCCTTGGGGAAGAACTCGTAGCCATTTTTAACTCCAATGCGATACTTCCCTGATGGATTGACCCAAGCAGGAAGGATCTGGACGATGTTAAAAAAAATATGCATTGTGAAACAGATGTAAAAGAGCGCCTATAAAGGAATGTTTTTAATGTTTGTGTACGTTGAGGTGTTTATATACTGACCTTGAGTGTTCTGCCAGAGAGGCCGGTGATTGTCCCATCTTTAGGCTCCACCACAGTGGTCATGTTCACGTCACCACTGCCTGTCGTATCAATGATGTCAACAATCTTTGGCTTCCCCTCAGTTGTAACCTAAGAGAACAAAAAAAATTGTAAGAAATCAGCAATCCACTAGAATGCAGACAGAAAAAGGTGCAAATCATAACTGGTATCTTACATTGAATGGGGAGGGGTGTGTGGACAGCAAACTAAATGAAACGTCATCCATAAATCAGCTAAGTAACTCAGCCGGTAAAACGATACCTGAAAAAGCTCAACGTGTTTTTTAACATGAGGATTTGTTTACTACCAGAGAAGCAGTCAGTTTCAGTCTCAGCCCCTCAAGCATGACTGAAGCAAGAGAACAGAAAATAAGCTCAATGTATTATGAAAGCTACCCAGCTAGACTTACACATGTGCACTGGCAGGTTTAGACTAACATGTAGTGTTTAACACTGTGTTGGTCGGCTTATTTTCTTACGTTGTGACTTGGCAGTTTGGATAAAGTTTCAGAGTTTACGGATCACTTATCAAAACGCCAAATACGCTTAATTTACTCTGCCTTGCTACTATTAAGCTAGCTACATCCAGTCAGCGTGTAAATCTAATAGTGTAAACACTGGAATAAAGAGGGGTAAAAAAAACCAAAAAAAAACAAAACACGAAAATAATTCAGCGGCTAGCTTCCAGGCTGTCATGCTAGCACACATTTTAACTTACTGGCTAACTGTACGCCAGATTAGCACAGAAATACACTCTGACAGCAGGGGTAAACACACACTACTAGCTGCTTTGCCTTGATATGGTTGTCATTGTGGCGTTAAGTTAACTACTGGTGTATCCACATATGCTAAGTATCTAGCTAGATAGCTAGCCGCTGCCGTTGTATACCAATGAAGTGAATGAGTCGGCCCTTTAGCTTCGCTAGCTTCCGCCAACTAGGTCGTAGCTTAACACGAGGCAGCCGGTCAGATCTACCTGCATGCCGGGGGCCCCGGGATCCACGCCGGTGTCGAGGATGGCGATGAGCACCCCTCGGCCGTCATACTCGGGGAACCGGGTGAGGTAAGAGGCAGCGCCGGTTTCTTTTTTGGGGAGCAGCCCGTGGAAGGGGAATGGCTCTTCGGTAGAATGAGCAGCCATGATCGGAAGAGCGACAATGAAAACAAAGCAGCGAAATGGGGAAGAGAGCAACAGTACGCGTGTGGGACTGACGGGGAGGAGAGCTGGTTAAAGGGGCAGTACTTCCAGTAACCCCAGGCCAACGAGCAGGCCTTTATCAGCCTGTTAACTTATCTGCTTTAGTCTGGACTGGGTTTTTACTGTCATGTGAACTGTCTGCTGGCTGGAAACCAAGATGTGTAATTGAGCAGTGTATGACTGCATGAAAGCCAAGAGGTTTCACATCCTTCATAACATCCCCGTACACACACACACACACACACACACACACACACACACACACACACACACACACACACACACAGAGGTGGCTGACTGATAAAACTGTATCAGCATCTGCAGTGTGTGCAGAAAAGTTGATTTTTGGCTGTGATCATCTTTGTGTTTGTGAAACGTCATCTCCAGGTCAACCTGAGCAAAGGTCTCATCGGCCACCCGTAGAGGTGAGCAGGACTTGTACGCTGTCACATGCATCTTGTAAATCCTGGGTCATTAGTGAAAAGTGGCACTGGGTGGTGCTGTATTACCGCTGAGTGTTTGCTGCAGTTAAATATTTGTGCTCTGTAGGAACTCTGCACAGTTTATCCTCCCAAACGGGTTTATTAAATCAAGTCTTAATGCATCAACATCACCCTTAGGAGAGTAGCGGCTTGCACTAAACCACAATCCAAGCGATTTTAATAATGATTTACTGCTTTGTGAACTGAAGGCAACAAAACCATCTGAACAAGCCTATGGACAGCAATCTGTAATTTGTAGGCTATGGATGCAATGTATGCGCATATACATTTTTAGAATTTTAACCCTGCGTAGATTAGAGAAAATCCTGAAGAAAGCAGCACCCAGTTGTTGTTTTTAAAGTCATTAAATTTGTGAAAGATGGATTAAGGGCTATTCATATTTTTGCACGTGTTCTTTATTAGTTTTTCTGTAATGTAACACCGTTACTAGCCAACAACAAAAGTGCTGCTCTCTATTTTCTTTCTGACACATGCAGTGCTGAGAATAAGGAAGAAATTAAAAGTTACAAAATGAAAGTTTTATTTGTCTCCCTCTCACATACCGAATGACATACATTCAGATTTGATTCATCCTGTATTCATAGAGCTTTTTTTTATCTTCTCTCTAATACCAGGATTAACCTTCCACGTCAATCGCCATCTGTACAACTCAATATCACGTCTTTCTCTCTCAACTTATAGCACATCGATTCACATATCTAGACTGTAGGTTAATCTTTGTGGTTGTGCTATTAAAAAAGGGGGGAGAACAAACCACAAAAGGAAGGGTTAGTCTTTGTTATTTTAAGTGTGCCAACGCCCTCAGATGCTGTTATGATGCCTGGTTTGCACGTAAAAAACTAACACTTAGGATCGTTTCACTAATCTGCCTTTAATCAGCATCTGTCTTCTCTTCCTCTTTCTGTCAATGGCTCATCGTTGTCACATATGAACACACAGAGATAACCACACTCCTGCAGTCACATTTTGTTGTCATGAACAGGATGCATATACTATATATATATATATTCCCCCCCCCCCCCCTTTTTTTCTGTTAATAAAATCGTTGGTTTGTAAGATTCTCAGTTTTATACCTTTTGCAGAGACATACACTTACATGCACACACTTGCAGTTAAACACGCTCTTGTGGTTTACCACAAGGGCGTAACCATTTAGCTGAACTGAAATAATGCACGTCATAAACATCTTTAAGGCCGTATTTTCCTACGTGATGCCGTGCATTGAGCTTCAAACTAATGGTGTTCTCCCTCTCCAGGTTTGGAGATGCGTCACAAACTTTGAATGAAATGTCTTGATAGCGGCGACCTGTGACTCTTGCACTGTAGTTTTACAGTGGGGGAAATAATTATTTGATACCCTGCTGAATTTGTAAGTTTGCTCACTTATAAAGAAATGAACAGTCTCTCATTTTTATGATAGTTTCGTTTTTTACAGAGAGAAACAGATAATCAGTTACGATAGCACGTTACCAGTGGTGTTCTTGGTGACTGTGTTTCAATTGCTTTCAGATCAGTAACAAGCTCCTTCTGTGTAGGTCTGGGGTAATGCACCACCTTTCTCATGATCACCCTCATTCTGTGTGGCAAGATCTCACAAGGAGCTCCGGTTCGATAGCAGTTGATGGGCATTTTATATTTCTTCCATTTCCAACAACAGTTATCACCTTCTCAACAAGCTTTCTGATGGTCATGTAGCCCATTCCAGCCGTATGCAGCTCTACAATCGTGTCCCTGACGTCCTTTGACAGCTCTTTGGTCTTGCCTGCAGTGGTGGGGAGGGTAAAATGGAAGAAACTGATTCTGTGAGCAGATGTGCATCATACACACAATGATATGAGATCAGGAGCATGTGTAATTGATTGATTGACGAATTGTAATCTGTGTGCCATGCTGAAGGCATTCAATACATATTTCACTCAGCGACATGCAAATCAATTTATAGCTTTTATATAATGTTTTTCTTTAGTCATATTTTATATCTCGTCAATAAAAATGAAGCTACCATAAAAAATAGAGACTGCTCATTTCGTTCTAAGTGAGCAAACTCAGTTGTTACATCTTTGCATAAAACGGTATCAGTGTTCTCCAGTTATCTGCTGTGATAAATTACTGGGGAGTCCAAATCGCTCGTTGTCGCTAGATGCTCAAATGCAGCTGACAGGACATGTGCAACTTAAAGGAGTTGTATTTTATTACCTCACATGCTAGCAGGCGAGTTTCCCTGCAATGTAGTTATCTTCAGAGGTTACTTATGCAACATGGGTAATACCATGGTTATTATCTATGAAAATAGCCACAGACTCTTAGAGGCGCTATTCAAATGCAGGCAAATGCTCTTGTAAACTGCGTCACTGGTATTCACCCTCAGACACAATGTGTACATTCAGTGAGTTGGGGGCAGTCTCATTACGTGTGAGTCATTTTCCAGTAGTTTTTGATGCATTAAAACACACGCACATACAGTTGCAGATGATAAAGGCAGAGCTAATATTAAAGACATTATATAATGCTGGCTGGTTTGTGTCATAATAATGCATCATTGCGTATTTGCTAATTATGATGATGGTTTATTAAAGAAAAGAAAAATCTTCACTGTAATATTCTGGTAATAGTCCTGCATTCAAATTCTCACTAAAGCAGAAGTGCAGAGGTATCAGGAAAATGTACAGAAGATGTTGCAAGAAAAACTACCTCCCTCTTTTGAGTGCTGTACTAAAATGTACACTCAATGGGCATTTTATTAGGTACACTTTCCTAGTATCTTTTGCATTCAGAGCTGCCTTAATTCATCATGGCATAGATTCAGCAAGGTGCCGGAAACCTTTCTCAAAGATTTTTGAGATGCCAAATTCTCACCCTATTATCTATCTGAATGTCGATGTAGAAACAGAGACAAGGCAATGTTTTTTCAGTCTTCTTCTATTGTCCAATTTTGGTGACCCCATTTTAACTGTAGCCTCAGTTTGCTCTCCTTAGCTGATCAAAGTGGCACCTGGAATAGTCCATAGTCCTGTTTTAATGTATTTTTTCCCCAGAATATTTCCTCTTTTTTCAGACCATTCTCTGTAAACCATAGAGATGGTTGTGTGGAAAATCCCAGTAAATCAGCAGTTTCTGAAATACTCAGAAAAACAGCCATTCAAAATTTCCTCAGTGTCACTTAAATCGCCTTTCTTCCCCATTCTGATGCTCAGCTTGAACTTAGCCGAAATGCACTGAGTTTCTACCATGTGACTGGCTGATTACATATTTGTATTAAGCAAGCAGTTGCATACAGTAGGTATACCTAACAACACGAGTACTGCACTTTTGACATTATTAGCATGTTGTAAGCAATTTGCTGTATTCCCACTAATACATGTACCTCATGGAGGCAGAAGTAAAGTCCAGATATTCCCAGGCTGGGGATCAGTGGCTCCAAAAAGATACAAACTAAACCTGAAGATGATTATTAGTGAAGAAAAAAGACCAAACAAAGTTCGACTACATACTAAGTCTGTGTTAATTTCTCGCACTTTTCCCCTCATTTTTGCTGTGTTGTGTCAAGAAAAGTCCTTCCATCGATTTTAACTGCTTCTCCAAGGCTACAGTCGTGGGCTACACCCCAAATAGTCTATTACAGGACTAGGGCTGCCACGATTAGTCGACTAGTCACGATTACGTGGACTATCAAAATCGTCTACGACTAATTTAATAGTCGACGCGTCATTTGAAGCTTTGTAAGATCCCATAAGACGCAGGAATAAGTAGTAGGATTTAAGAGTGTCATAACAGACTGAAACAGAAGATGACAGCACTGCATGTACAAGGATGCCGGCTGCTGTTAAACCCCAAAGAAGAAGAAGCTGCGTCCCAGAATTCATAGCGCAGCCCAGCTCAGTTTTCAACAATGGCGGCTGTCACTACCCGATCCGTACCGGAAACCCGATCGGTACCCCGCATGCGCAAATCTTACGTCACTTCCTCTCTTTGCCAACATTGCAACATTCAATATATTTGATTGATACGGTTAGCGCCCAGTTAGCTCCTAGCATTTCTCAACAGCTCTGCCTCCTTTTCGACTGCCCGGGACATTTAAACAATGGATAATCCGTATGCAAAGAAATTCATGCTTTTCTCCTCAACAGAGAGCGTCCCCCGATTGAGCAACAGCGCCGTAAAATAAGAAGAATGGCGCCTAATTACAGAGTTAATAATGCAGACTTTGTAATATCTCACGTGTAGATTCATCAGCCAGATTAAGTGTTTACTGACAATTGACAGTGATAGCGCACATCATCATCACTATTCCAACAATCCTCTCCTCACAGACAAGCATAAACACACTCGACTATCGCTAAATCAGATTTAACACACGTTTGTAATGACGATAATTCAGTTTATAATAGGGTTTATTCGCTCGGTCAGCAGGTGGCGGTATCCTCGTACACTGGGGAGTAAACTGCCATTAATGGCATTGTAAAGCGCTTTGGGTGCCTTGAAAAGCGCTATATAAATCCAATCCATTATTATTATTATTATTATTATTATTAAACGAACAGAAGA